ACCTTTTCCAATGGATTTTTGAGGGGCATCCGTAGTTCTACATTATAAGGTAGCATCCTTATATAAACTTTTTCCTTTAGATAATTGATAGTATACAAGGAGTCCATTTGCTTTTTTAGGTAATTGATATACTATTTACTTTCAATACAAGAAGTTCACAATCAGTTTGTTAATCAGAATTCAAATCGGATGGTTGTAAGTGTATCATTGACTAGACTCCAAGTTCAAAAAATAATTTTTTGAATTTTGTGGCACACCTCAAGCCATTTAATTTGAAATCTAATGACTGGTATCAATTTGTCACCTACTTGTACCAAAAATAAATGGTGTCTATGAAATAAAGAACAAAACATCAACTACTATTGTGCCCTAAAAGCTATGCCATGTTATTGAACTGCCTCTACTACAACCAATGAAGTTCAAATTTAGCTAGGTAAGAACATAAAAATAAGCTATGCCGTATTAATGCTACTGAATTGCCTCTACTACAACTAGTAACGTTCAGGTACAGCTAGGTAAGAATCAAAAAAATCTACTTTTTCTGTTGATACATGTACGGCTAGGTAAGAATAAAAATAATCTACTTTTTCTGTTGATAATTTGAACTATTTTACCAAGAATTCATTTAACAAAGGAAAAAGTTCATATAAGGTTGCAACTTTAAAATCTAGAATTACAAATGCACTTCAAAAATCCATCGGAAAATGTTGTTTTACTGTTAAAAAATATTATAATTGATCATCTCAACATCGAGATATCTGAATATGAAAAAAAAAATAACGATTTTGAGTCCTAAAAATAATGTATCTTATAATACATTATTTAGACTTTTTATTTTCAAAATTTTATAATTAAATATAAAAGTAAATTTTAAAATAATCTTAAAAATTTTCTTCACCAAAATTACATATTAAGATAAAATTTGGCGGTGGGCCTTAAGGCTGCAACCTTATAGAAACCTAACCAGCTCTTACAAGTTATCAAAGAAGGGATTTAATAATTCAAAGGATTCGAGAATCCAATTTTTTGAATTTATGCTGAAAGATTCCCTTATCTCCATTATCGAACTTGCTCTTTGGATACTCTTTCCATGACAATTCTCTCTAATTTTTGGGTTAATTTTTGCCCACCAACTTTTTGGACCATGAAGATTTAACAGGTTAATTATTTTATGCAGAAGAAAAGGTTGAGGATAGTTTCGTTATTTTTGATAAAATGGGGGTTACGATGGTAATGCGGTTCCGAAGCCATGCCCCATGGATTAGGGTTACCTCAGAAGATCTATATAAGGGGGCATCAGTTTTTGGGTTTTCGGTCACTCTGTAAAGTGCCGCTAGGGTTTTCTCTCTGCCATTGTTTTGAAGTCGGGATAGTGTGCTGCTGAGGTCGCTTGTGGAATTTGAAAATGAGGGCTAAGGTGCGTTGAATGTTATTCAATCTGAATGTCTTTCCTCATTCGATTTGATTATAGGAATTCAGTTCTCTGTCATCTGAGTGTGTTTCCTCATTTTATTGCGTGTTGTTTGAATCCTTGATCAATCTGCGCCTCATTCGCGTCAATCATCTGAGTGTGTTTCCTCATTTTACTGCGTGTTGTTTGAATCCTTGATCAATCTGCGCCTCATTGGCATCATGGACGCGGCTTGTTCTTGAAATGTTGTATTCGTGAGTTTTTTTGGTTTTTCGAGCTTTTTCACTAATTGACTATTTTCAATTTCAGGGAGATGTATCAGCTTTTTCGAGCTTTGTCACTAATTAACTATTTTCATCTCTTATATCTTTGGTTTCTGCGAGATGTATCAGCTTTTTCATGAAAGCTTGTTTTTGCTGGTTTATTTCTAGAAAGGTGGCTTCTCATGATGAATCGTGGATATCCCATGAACCGTACTGATATTGGCTGGGATCTTCTTTTTTTCCGATGATTTTTTAATAGTGTTTACTTCTGCCTTCTCATTATGCAAGATGCTATGCATTTTCTTGCTCTGTGATCTAGATTTCTTATGGTGGTCCCTTCTAGATTTCTCATGATGGTACCTGGCTGGGATCTTCTATCTTTCGGATGATTTTTAGTACTATTTAATTGAGCAAAACAATTCTTGCTCTGTGATCTAGATTTTTCATGGTGGTCCCTTCTAGATTTCTTATGGTGGTTCCTCGGTTGACATCTGACTTTGAGATTTAAGTGTAACGGTCTTGGTTGTTTCTGGATACTGCTTGGTTGTGAAGGTTTCTTCTTGATATTATTAAGGTTTTGTTGGTGTCAACATTTTGGTTTTTGATTTTTGTTGTTTCCTTTATTGTATTTAATGTTTCTGCTTTCTTTTCGCCTTATTTTATGTAATCATCTGTTTGTGTGGTCTGTTTGTACTCTCTCTTTGATGTCTCATCTCTGTGTCTATGACAGATACATGCTGAAAAGTCTAAGTCTATTGTATGGTTTCCATACTAGCTTGTTTTTTGATATCTCAAAAGAGAATGGTACCCTATTAAAGATCTTGTGAATTTTATTACTAAAGAAAGTTGGAGATTCCTTTAATTTCTTCTCCTATTTATAATGAATGTGTTTTTATTTGTATTTTCTTTATTGGGGTTTTTTGTTTGGCTGTAAGGTTATGTTTTAATTGTTGCTGTGTCGCATTTCTTTTACTTTGTGTATGGTATTAATTTGGGGAATTATTGTGAATATCCATTATTTCTAGGGATGTTTGAAAAAATATCTATACTTTTTTTTATGCATGGTTCATTGGTAGGAATAAAACGTGAGATGTGGCTTTGCTAAAGTAAACCACTCACCACACAAAAATTGCCCTTAAATTTGGTACCTAGAGTACTCAACTAAGTTGGAACCTAAAAAATGTAAAAAAAATGGTAGGTTTATGAGTATCTAAGATTTTCTTGACTTAGTGTTCTGTTCGGTTCTCCTAGTGCCAAGCAAAAGATCTTTGTTTCAATAGAAAAGTTATTGATTCTATTGGTACCTATCTAAGTTTTATTTTCCTTGACAAAATCAAGTAGTTAGGTATTTTACCAGTTCCAAACTAGTTTTTGTTGAAGAAATATTTTGTTTGATATTGGGAGTACTGAACAAAACATTATGCCAAGAGCCCAGACAATGTTCTGTATTTTCAAGGAAATGGGCTTGGGTCAAGACGTAGAGGCTACGTTTTCATAGCCCTACGTCTCAATTTCCATTCCTATGTAAAGTTGTAAAAAAATATATTAATTATTTTCAGTACCAAACACTATTTTTATACAAAATCCCTAAATATTGTTTTTGCAATAATCTTAGCTATACTCAAGGGCATTTTTGGAAAAAATAAGATAAAACATAAGGTGCATTTGCATAAAATTGAAGAATTTCAGGACGTTTTCAAAATATCCTTAAAAGGACATGATGTCCATGTAAATTTTCCTTCAAATTTTGCTTTTTTTTAAAGAGTTATTGTTTTTAATTTTAAAAATATTTTGTGATTTTTTGTTTGTTTTGACAAGTTTTCTAGTTTATAAGTTGTCTTCATTTTATATCAGCGATTCAAATTCAGCTTTGTGGCCACCTAGGAGCTTCAGGGGGGCCAACTGCACCGAATGGACCTTGGTTGGGTCCTGTTTGATTTGGGTGCCGGCCTAGGTGCCCTTGGGCCAAGTCAGCCTCATAGGCCGTGGCTGAGGGTGGCAAATGGCCCTGGCCCAAGAGTAAATAATTTTAATTCCCCCACTTCCCTTGTCCTCCTCTCCCTCTTTCTCCTCCTCTTGTTGTGGGGCAAGGTAAAAGAGAGAGGGGGGCATTTTAAACCCCCCCCCTAAACTCGGAGTTGATTAGGATCTTGAAAAACACAAAGAAAACCAAGAATTTGTGACTTTTTTGATGATAAAAAGTTCACACTTTTTGATTCTTGCAAATTGAATGGTATTCAATCAGATGCTTTTTGAGACTAGAAGTGGTTTTAAAAGAGCTCCTTTGGCAGCCAAAGGTCATGTATTCGAGCGAAGTTCTATTGGGTTTTGAGAGGTTAATGTATTTCATTTGGGTAATGATCCTATGAGACCCTTCTACACCCATGTGTGTAGGACCCCAAAAGATCACCATTAAATTTGGCATAGATTTCTAGAAAAGTTAACATGTGTGTGGGACTTGACTTTTCTAGAGATCTATGTCAAATTTAATGGTGATCCTGTGGGGTCTTATACATATGGGTGTGGGACGGTCTCACAAGATCATTTCCCTTCATTTATTGGTCTAGGTTTTTTGATATTTATGTATCTTGGTATTAATTTTTTGTTCTTTTGAATTCTTTTTTCCTTTGTGGATTGGTTTTCATTTTTTGTTTGTGATTTTTAATGTTAACATGACTTAATGGTTGAACCTTGGGTACTTTGTCACTCCTACAATGTTTTAGTCATTCATTTTCACAGTGCAAAACCACGTATATTTAAGTTTGAATTGCACAATAAAATAACACTCACCATTGTTGTTTAATGAAATAGATGTTCTATGCACACATTTCCCCCCAAAAAAAGGAAAGAAAACGCACATGGCGTGGCTGCCCATATATCTTGACATCTGCCTAGGGCCCTAGGCATACAAATCTGCCTTCTTGAACATTGTTTTTGTAGCATATCTCATAATGGTGCTTTTATTCTTTCATGGCTTCTTTGTTATAAAGCCTACATATTGTTTTTAATTGTGCTTGATATTTTTTGTATTGGATGGGGGCTTTGTTGCATCATCAATACACACCCATCTAAATGTGTTTTTCTTCCAAAAATCCATGTTACATACTTATATGGATTTTGGAACTAAAATTAGGAGGTTGATAGTCTTGAGCACCATGATAATGGATCTGGGTAAAGTAGATTTTGAAAATCAACTGTTTTAGACTCCTCTTGGACAGTTCATTTTGGTTCTATTACAGTATCTCTTTTAAGATATAAAGTCTATTTTTTGTTAGATTCATGATCGCATGGTTGAGATTAGAATAGTACCTCAGACGTCTCTCTTTTGTATTACTCTTTACCCCTAAGTATGTAGAAAGTGTGTTATCGTTAATATTAAATCCCTCCATTGTTCGCAAAATCGCCCGATCTAACTGCTAACTACTGCCTGGTTAGATCGGTTCCGGTTTTGGGTGGTTAGGGTGATCAATCAGTATTTTTTAAAAAAAATCAAAAAATGTATATAAATTCTCAAAAATAAGGAATTTGATCTTAAATGCATTTTTAAATATTATTTACGTTATGGTAAAGATTAAAAATTGTTTTGGTCATTAAGACTCACTTATATATTTTCCCATCTTTTTTTAGAAAATTTTAAAAATTGCCATTGAAAAATATAAAATGGGTTAAAATCCATTTTTTTAATTAATTTTCAACTTTTTTTTTCCATATTTAGTAGTTTTTTTTGAATTTTTTTCAACACTTTTTTGACCACCCATGACTTGCACAGTTAAAGCGGTTGAATCGGCCGGTTTGGCCGGTTTAACCAGTTCCAAACCCATGTTCGGTTAACCGTTGTGGTTCGTTTCTACGCACACTGATCCCCACACATGAAAGACATTATTGACTCCCATAACTGTTCTGGTTCGATTCTACGTACACTGATCCCCACACATGAAAGACATTATTGACTCCCATAGAGACTCCCATTGATTAGCATTGTCTAATATATATTACAACATTGTGCTTGATCTTCTAAACTATTTATAGCAAGAGCAGCTACTATTTGTAGTTTCCTTACTCACCGCGTGACAATATCCATGTAATCACTATAGCAACTGTTAGTTTCTGGAAAAAAAATGACCCCACTGTTAAGTGTTTTACATTTGTTTCTTTGCTTTGCCTGATTTTCACCCCAGTGGAAGAAGAAGCGCATGAGGAGGCTCAAGAGGAAGCGCCGAAAGATGAGGCAGAGATCCAAGTAGACAATGATGATAGCTTTGACAAGGGTGATCTTCTCTGGGTCTCCTCCTTTCCAAATCTTTTTTGGATTGGTGGTTTGATTTAGCGGGGAATGCCTTGTTAGGTCTTATAATCAGAATCCTGAGCAATCGTCTATTCAGAAACTAGGTTGTTCTTATGTTTTGTTTATCTTGTTTGAGAGAACTTGAATGGTAGTCGTACTAATCTTCAATTTTGGGAGACAATTTTAAATGTTTGTTGCTTACAGTTGGTTATTGAGATTTCTCTTTAGTTCTTCCTTCAAGCTTTACCGGTTTATTCAATTGTGGTGATGATCAACTGTGTGAAAAGTTTTTGGTGCTGCTACCAATTGATTTGTAATCTGCCTAGTAGTGCTACTATCTTGGTTTTTGAGGGGCTGAACTGGTTTGAGTTGCCCAGTTTAAACTATTTAGGGTAAAGCAAAGTTTGCCTGGTGACCACTTAACTTTCGTACGACGTAATCCTAAGTGGTAGTCCTAATTAATTTCAGTGATTAAGCTGAAAGTACGAAAAGAATTTTTTTTCAAATTTTTTTTTTTAAATTGGAACATTTTTATAAAAAATAGCCCATTTCAAACAGTGCATTTGGAGTTATTTATTTAGAGTCAAGAGTTCACACCATCTGTTCCATCTGTCTGTTCTGTTCTCTGTTATTTAATCTAGAGCTCACCAAAAACCATCTCGTTCTTTATCTAGAGTTCACCATAAACCATCTTGGAAACAATGTATTGGGAGCTCTTAACATGGTAGGGGTCCTCTGTTCTTTATCAGGAGTTTTGTTCTGCGTTCTTTATCTATTGTTCACCAAAACCCATCTCGGAAACAATGTATTAGCAGCTCTTAACATGGTAAGGGTCCAGAAAGGCACATTTTAAGCTCTCTCAAGTCTTCCAAATGGACGCTGTGGCAGATTTATATCTGGTTCAAAATATGCGACAGCTTTTTATAAATTCGGAGTGGAAGGATTTCATTGGTCACGTCTTTCAGACGTGTGGATCGAAAGGTGGTTACCATAGTGAAAACATAAAACTGCCTTTTATAAATGTTGAATCGGTTCAAGAAATTTAAACATCCTGGGGTAATACGGGTGTGATTATTTGAGTGACCCGAGCCAAAATATGTAACAGTCATGTTTACACCGTATCATTGTTAGCGTCTTTTTTTTTTTTTGCAAGTTTTAAATTAAATTGGTCATTTGTGGTGCGAATTCAGTACATTTGTTAGGAGACTTGAAATAGTTCAAGTGGCTGACTTAAAAAGAACAAAAGTAAGTTGGAAGTAGTAAAATTAGATAGGGATTTATGGTTTCATTAAAAGTATGATTTTTAATATAATAAAATAACGATTAATAGAGCAAAATGACGGATCAGGATTTGTATAGTTTATTTCAATCAATTGGAAAAATGTTTTGACAATGATGATGACAATGATCCTTTAGCTCAACTTAAGTGCTTTGTTCTAAAATCTGGAGTTTGTTTTTTTTTGTTCATTTGAATTAAGTGCTTTGTTCTAAAGTCTGGAGTTTTTTTTTTCTTCTTCATTTGAATTTGTTGTTTCGTTTGGAATCTGAAACAAGTAGAGACGCTTTGGTAGTTTGCTCATGGGCTAAATACATAGATGTCCTTGCTACCATGATTCAAAATCTAGAAAAAATGCCGTCTTGGGTATTCAAAACTAAAGAATTGAGCAATTACTTGTGAAATAATCTTATTAAAGTAATATTTCTATTGACAATAATTAGGTTGATTTCATCCCGAGTTCTTTTGAGGTTCTTTAAAAAACTTACTAAAATGTTCGCCGGAAAGAATGTTCTGATGCATAATAAGTATCCAATTACTAGGTAAGCTACAAGGAAAATAAAAGCAAAAGGGACTACCAAAAAAAGGACATGTTTTCCAATGGCTTATTTTCCATTTTAGATGCATTTGAGATCTCATGAACCAGGGATGAGATCAGCAAAAAACTACATCAATCCGCTATTTGATTTTTAGGGTAACTTCAATTTAAATCAAATTGCCAACAAGTCTCGGGTAATTTAATTTTAAAGGTTTGTCTGTCTTTCAAATTCGAATTAGTTCTCAATTGCAATTAGTGCTAAATTGGATTTTCAGCAAATTTGATAGCTTTTTAGAAAATGTCATTCATCTCTCTCTCTCTCT